GACCGGCAAGTACTGCCTCGTCTTCGACCCGCTGGATGGTTCGAGCAACATTGACGCTGGTGTCAACGTTGGTACCATTTTCGGTATCTACCAGGTCCAGCCAGGCTCGACGGGCTCTGTAAAGGACGTGCTGCGTCCTGGCCGCGAGATGGTGGCTGCCGGCTACTGCATGTACGGATCCTCGGCAAACATTGTCCTTTCGACGGGTACCGGTGTCGATGGTTTCACGCTGGACAACAGCATTGGCGAGTTCATTTTGACGCACCCGAAGATCCAGATTCCGCCCCGCGGCAAAATCTACTCGATCAACGAGGGTAACGCAATGTACTACCACTCTCCTATTACCAAGTACTTGGAGTCGATCAAGTTCCCTGAGCCTCCCAAGAAGCCGTACTCGGCTCGCTATATCGGTTCTATGGTTGCCGACGTGCACCGTACGCTCCTGTATGGTGGCATTTTCTGCTACCCGGCGGACAAGAAGTCGACCAAGGGTAAGCTCCGTATGCTCTACGAGGCTTTCCCTATGGCCTTCCTTGCTGAGCAGGCTGGCGGTCTCGCCACGACTGGTGAGAAGCGTGTGCTGGACGTGGAGCCCACGAGCATCCACGAGCGCTGCCCTATCTTCCTCGGTTCCAAGGAAGATGTGCAAGACCTGCTGAGCTTCTTCAAGGAATAAATACACGTGCCCTTCAACACCTATCATACATAGGACTGGTAAATAACAGTGTTCCCGGAGTATATTTTCTTCATTACATTGCCAAACTCAGCCCTGTTCCGACACTCGTTGTATCATCACTGTGTATACCAAGCTCTTGTTGGATAACGGCATCGCTTGCATCAAGCGCGTTGGCAACACAATCGTTGATCCCGACACCCGCATAGCTGAAGCCCAGGAGCGTAAGTCGGTCCCGCCAACGAGGATCGGAAATAAGTGCGTCGTGTAGCTCTTGCATCCGCTTGGGATGCCCGACAAGATATTGTGGAATGGTGTCTTTCAAAATGTGTCCGGAAAGGTATCGCACATGGTTTTCAAGGATAGACATAGGAATTCCGAGCATGTTGTGGAGAGCACGGAGCGCTCGCCCTTCTGCCTCTTTGACCGTGGGGAGTTCGCTGTGTTTCTTTCCCCGCCAATACGGCCCCCCCATCATAACGGTCATCTTAATAAATGGTGGCTTGCCGCTGGCATCGGCTTGACCTTGGTTCGGTACAGCGTCGCTGTCCAGTACGACTCCAAGAATCTCATCGGGGTTGTTTTTTGCACTGCGAGGTACCAGAAATCCGAATCCTTCGATAGGTAACTTGTACTGCATGATCGATCCATCTGGGGGCGCCAAGATCACATCCACCACGCTCAATGTTGCTGCTGGATTGTAGTCAAGATGCGGCAAATCAGGCAAGAGTGTGGCCAGTTTAGCACTCGGAAGCGCCGCCACTACGCGGTCCACCTGAAGTTTACCGACTTCATTTTGTACGCCAAGGGCAAACCCATCTGCATTGAGTTCGATCTGCGTGCAAGCTGATCCCATCCGAAATTCTGTATTTTGTGTCGCCATTACGCGGTCACTCAATGCGTCAATGATCTCTTGCAGTCCATTAGGGAAAGAATAGATACTTGTCTTGCGCATTTTTTCCACGAACTGAGGGTCCATTCGCTTAGCAACCTTCAGAGCCTTTTGTTTGTCTTCAGCAGAACGGCTCTTCATTCCCTCTTTGAACTTCTTGTTCAGTTTCGAAGGAAAGGGTATAAGAGCTCGCAGTACACTTCCGTGAGTTTCTTCCAAGTCCATGAGGAACGGCACGATGCTTTGAGCGCTTAATTCGCGCGAGTCTCCCGCATAGATTCCATGCATCATAGCAGATACCAAGTTGTCTGCGAGTGGCTGCCCAAAACGACGGGAGACAAGCGAGTGTACCGACTCATCCTCATGCATAGTTGCTTTCTGCTGCACCCATGGCTCGCGAATCACACCCGACAACGTTTCCCGTATCACTGGAAGACGCATAGCTGCACCAATTGCCCCAAATAGAGAGGATGGCAAACGGTTCAGTTTCCCGCCATAATACAGAAACCGGTTCTTGGCGGACTTGGAGGTGCGGGGAACGAGCACCATGCGGTCGGCAAGGCCCAGATCCGCAACCTGTATAAGCTTCTGTTACTACGCACCATTTCCAATGTACGAATCCCTTTGTATTTCCCCGGCATTAGACTCCGTGGACCCGATTCTAACAAGGCCGTAGCATCTTGTTGAACAGGTGGTTCGTGCACACGGACTCGCTCACTGTGCACCCAGCCGCCTAGCCGGGAGCTTGCTTCAAGAACAATAATACGATGGTTTAGAAGTGACCTAGACAAAGAATATGCTGCAGTAAGGCCAGATATGCCTCCGCCTAGCACCGCAATTGTCCTGGGACGTGCTTGGCCTGACATCCCACCCAGTCGGAAGCACGAAGGTGGAGGTGAGGCGGTGGTATGGTCACGTGAATACGAGTTGGTAATCACCGGCGCGGGACAGACCGGATTCATTGGCATTACAGCTATTTTCAATCATCTTCCACCTGGCTACGGTGCTAGCGTAATTTGAACCATGGCCTCGGTACGTCGTCTGCGGTCTTTCGGCGCGATGCTAACCAAACTTACCCGCTACAGAAGTCCATTTCGTTCGCGAAGTACATCCAGTCGTCCCCGACGCTCCTGAAGTTCTTCAAGCCCGTCGCGAACGCGTACGCTCAGACCGCTGGCTACCGTCAGTTCGGTCTCCGTTACGACGATCTTCTCGAGGAGGAGAATGCGCAAGCACAGAAGGTTCGTATCTACTTAATATATGCGCCTTGGGTAGCGCACGAAAGAACATGACTAACGTGTAGGCCATTTCCCGTCTCGAGTCGCGCGAGGCCTATGACCGTGTCTACCGCTTCCGGCGCGCGATGCAGTGCTCCATCCTGCAGCGCCCGCTTGCCAAGGAGGAATGGACCACTCCTGAGAACGTATGTCACTCTTAAAATAACTGACCCCAGGACATTCGCTATTTGACCCCGCTTCTCAGGGAGATCCAGCGCGCCGATGACGAGCGCGAGGCCTGGGACACTGCCAGCGTGAAGAAGACGCACTAAACGCCCTACTTACGCGTTTGCATATCGTGTTACCTCACCATGACGTAGCATCTCATATTTGACCCTGTATGAAAAGATGGATCAACGAAAGGCTGAGCATCGTGAACGGACTTGCGCGTGAGGACTGGCTAGGATGACTTATGCACCCAATGTGATGCATCTTTTGAACCTCACTCCGTGTTCTTTGGGCTATGTGAATTGGCGGGCCTTCATACATCCGGGAATGGATTGGCCGTGGGTAGTTCTCCACACGACCGTGGGCGCCAACAATTTGTAACACACTTGGTGCGGACCGGCGTTCAACGCGCACACCTCGTCATGTTTATAAGTGACAGAGACGAAGGGTCGGGTAGATCTCTTCCTATCCGTCTACTTCTCCTGTGTACTTGTGCCACACTATTCACCACAGTGTACTCTTCATATTCTATCTGGCTGCAATTAAAGCATTATTACAAGCCCTTTCTCCAACGATATGTCGTACGAATTCTTGTCATGTATGTGCACATACAAGGTTAACGCTTACCGTCTAGGCCCCTATTGTATACTATCACTTCGGCCATTTCGCTCTATTCCCTTCAACTTGCCGAGATGATCGGGTTGGTTCGTGATCTGTACGAAGCATTTGTGATCTACTGCTTCTTCAACCTCTTGGTGGAATATCTTTCAGGCGAGAGTGAAATTTTGACGATGCTTCGTGGGAGAAACCCTACGCCTCATATCTTTCCGCTCAGTCTGTTCTTGGCGCCGGTTGATTTGAGCGACCCATACATTTTCCTTTGGGTTAAGCGTGGCGTCCAACGTACGTCTGATTTCTAACCTCTAGAATACGTTCAATTTAAACCTATCTTGGCCATTGCTACGGTATTGTTGAAGTTCCTTGGTAAATACCAAGATGGTCGACTAGGCCTTGAGAACGGCTACACATGGATCTCCCTACTTTACAGTATGTGCTACGCATTATTAACCCTAGATGTCTCAGTATTCATTGCATTATATTCTCTGACCATCTTTTGGATGTGCCTTCGCTCTGAACTGAAGCCATTCCATGTTGCTGGCAAGTTTATGTGTGTGAAGGGTGTGATCTTCTTCAGTTTCTGGCAAGGTCTCACTATCTCAATATTGGTTGCCGCTGGCATTATCCGTCACAGTGCGTATACTCAAACGCAAGCGACTGACTTCCAGTTGGCTCCGTTCGAGATGATATTTATCTCTCTGCCGCTTTACAGGATGCGCTCATCTGCCTGGAGATGCCTTTTTTCGCGGTGGGGCATGCCTATGCGTTCTCATATCTCGATTTTGTCCAGCCTCCTTATAAACTCGCTGGGCGTATGCCATTCTTGTATGCGCTGCGCGACAGCTTTGAGATTGGTGACATCATTTCGGACACCATTTCAACATTCCGAGGAACAGGCTATACTTATCAAGCAGTTGAGCCCAACGACACCACGGTTTATCAATCGCGTGCGTTAAGTCGACGAAGCCGAGCAGGACTGCGCTACATTGATCAAGGGAAAGGGAAATATTGGATTCAAAACTCATCAAAGCCACAAAGCACTGGTGACTCCGACCATAATGGAGGGATCCAAGAGGCTAACGAGAGAACGCAACTGAATCAAAATTCCAGATTCCCATCCTATATGGCAAATTCACGCAATGACAATCGCCCCGACATATCCATTTTGAAATTCGACGATCCGACAAAAGAGGAGGACCGATTATACGACCTCGCTCGAAAGCTTCCCTTCGGAGATTATCGATACCCTTGCGTATCACCTTCCATACGCGCTGGAAATAGCATGCCGTAAATATATGTTCAATGTCATAAAGTACAAAATCAGATTCCTCCACAATTGTGGCCATCGAAAGTTCAAAAAGGAAAAAAAAAGTAGCTCAGGACGGTTTCGATCCGTCGACCTTGGGGTGCCGCATATCAATATGAGCCCCACATGCTATCCACTGCACCACCGAGCTTCGGGATATATTACGGCTCGGGAATATGCCAATATAATCATGTGTACAGGTTTTATACAAATCCTACGTGTTCCGGGTAGTACACCTAAGTGACGCTTGTGTAATAATGTACCCTAATGCTCAGTTCTTTTGTTCATGGTGCACATAGCATGAGATTTCCGACAACATTTCGCTCTGTATAAGCAACAATACTATGTATAAAGATTATCATCGTAGATTGCGCGCCATCATAGAATGCAACACATTAATTCTTAACGTGTAGCCAGAGAAAGCTAGTGTGCTCTACACTTCGAAAGGCATATATATCGAAAACGCGGCCACACATACAGAGAGTTCTGCGTAGTTTAGTGGCTATGACGGGTCCTTGTCATTACGACTTGGTTCGGACCAGACCCGGGTTCAATTCCCGGCGCGGAAGCTTTTTTTTGCGGTAAGAATCTACATTGCACGCAAGTGGAGAATTTTTTTGAGATTCGCGAGAGCAATTGTGGTAGAAGATTCCCACTAGTACGGCGTAAAAAAGGACGTAGGATATGATGTATATGTACTTATGACATTTGCTGGCTAGCATCAATCAGTAATCTCCAGGCCGATTCGGGGTTATTGCCAAGGCCTGTTGGCTCATGTCTGGCACGTCGGGTCGTTACTTGAGGCAACTCAGACAACTCCTTGACCACATGGAGCCACCCTTGTTGGACATCCAGCTGGAAACGTCTGGCTTGCCCTGGCGCAAATTGATGTGATATGCGCACATCTGTAAGGTCAGATAAAGTGAGAACGTACTTGGCATCAACACTCTCTCGATGACTGCTTTGCTCAGCGACCCCGCGATTTGCCGGTACAATGGTAGGAGAAGTCGAGGAGGGCATAATTTGACCAGGTGAGACAAAAGCATTGAGAGTTTGGCCAAAGCTGGTAGAAGCTCCTTGCTTGGTATTTCGAGATTCTGCGGGACGTCTTCGTCCTGTTTCTCCTCTTCGGCTGTGCTCACTTCGGGGGTTTGTTCACGATCCCATCGACTGTGTGTTAGTATGCCAGCATACCGTTGTATGTAAGGGCGCAAAGACTCCAGCACTTCTGATACGACCAAGCATTCCAAGGCACGTTTCGAACGATCTGAGATATCCTGGAACTGCGATCGTGACTTGTCCCATACGCCCGAAGCCTGCTTGTCCGGCGTAGTGGCAGTGCCAGTTTCTGGTTCCTCCGAGTTCGAAGAGGCCAAGGGTCGCAAGTTTGCTGCAACATGAGCACCTCGTTGGAATCCGCGCTTCATTGCCAAGATCAGACTGGCCGAGTCCAATTCATCCTGTGACTGGGATGGCATCATCAACCGGTACAAGGTCGACGACTTGTCCAGCGACGCAATGTTTTCGTTCATGTCCAAAAAGAAGGAGGTCTCCGACCATTCTTCAAGTTGATGGCACACAAACTCCGCGGAAAGTAGTGCTTTGGCCACGCGGGTGATTCCCTTCGTCCCACGCACCTCGTCATTATTAGATGAGGCCGCCAGAGATCCGATTTCACCAGGAATGGCACGTGAAAAGACGCTGCTCATGGTTTCCACCGCATCCATGTGACGCGAAAGGCGCACTTCAAACTGGGACAAAAGTGGGCGTTGGACATGGATAACGAATGCACACTGTTGGGAAAGTGAATGGAGCGGCTGGTAGCGTTCGGTGATACCGGCCAAGATGTTGGTCAACGTGCAGGCAGACAAAGTTGTGGTCAATGCATCCGCTGCGGCGTCTGCATCTCTTGCAGAGTCAGAAACTGCATCGAGGCTGGGATCGTTTTCGTTCGTGAGTGTGTCTGCTTGCACCAACGTCCACGCCGTAGGCGACTCCAGCACCGCGTCGAAGCGGCGCTGTGCAAAGACGCGCTCGCCGTCGAGCCATTGCTTGAACCAAGTATCGTTGCCCAGAACATCATCGGCGAGTCGTACAGCCCCCCGTCCATCGGCAACCAACAAAGCGGGACAATACATTTCTCGCAGATCGGCATCAAAGGTGAGGTATTGGAAGATGCTGTGCGCCAACAAGGCCGGCTCCGGAGCTAGCAGCGGCATCGAGGCGTGAATCTTTTTACGCAGGGGATACAGCGCATTGTGGAGCAGCTCTGCGGACGTGTCAGCAAAGATGTGGCGCTTGCGGAACGGCTGGTCCGGTGACGTGGGCCGGCGAAGCCGCGTAAGCTCAGCGACTTGGCCGCCTGAATACCATGCATCTGGCGCCGGTGCAAAAAGTTCGCTGTTCATCTGCACAAGCGCAAGCATGTGCCGTAAAAACCATTCTGGTTTGTCGAGCCGATTTGTGGAACGGTCGCTGTCGAAGTGGTAGCGGAATCGCAGCAGGATCGGCTGGAAAAGAATAGTTGCCGCTGTGAGAGGCACGTAAGCATCGGATCCAGGCTGTTCCGACGTGCTCCGAGGGACCTCACTCGTAGAGACCAAGGGCAATGGCTTAATGCAGCTGGGCGCTCCGCACAGCCCCAGCTCCGCGCCCGTCAGCTGTAGCTCGCAAACGTCAGACCAGGCACCCTCCAATCGCGCATTGCCCAAGAGGTGCACAGGCTTTGCATCACGGTTCTTGGTCGATTCAGGGTTCTCGAGTTCCGGCGGTGGCCAGTGTATGGCGTGCAATGCTTCCCGCAGAGCAGTATGGTAGCGCTGTTCCAACTGGCCGTACAGTGTGTCACGACGGCGGACAAGTTCCTCGCGTGCGCGTTTCGGAAGATGAAGCCCATCATTCTGACTACTCAGCGAGATGCCATCCACCAGCGCTGCGAGTCGTTGCAGTGCATTCATCTGGGCCTGTACGTCATCCGCGTGCGCCGACGCATGCGCTTCCACCTCGTCGGCCTCTGCAAGAAGCTGTGTGCAGTTGCGTGCAATATAGAGTTGCTCTAGTGTTTCGTTGTGCAAGCCATTCGCTTCCTCGCGCTGTTGGGCGGCGGCGCTAGAGGCTGGCGCCTGCAGTTGCTCGGCCAAGTGTTGCAGCGGCTCAGCCAAATCCTCGTCGTTGTAATCTTCGTGGAGCACGGAAGAAAGGATCGTACGCAGATTCGTCTCGACATTTTGGAGTGTTTGCAGGGCCTCGTGGTTGGCGTGGTTGGCGTGCTCGACCGCCGCCTTACGGTCGGGATGCTCCGCATGCGTATTCAGGAGGGGTAAGAGACGCAAGTCTGCCGCTGTGTACGCGTTACGCTCTGTGTCTTGTGTACTTGGCGCTTGTAAGTAGTGCATAAGCCGTTGCGGCTCGGCACGCAGCTCCTCGAGCGCATAGCGCGGGACCTCGAACCGTGCCTCTCCCCCGGACATGTTGGCCCACAGCGTAGCGCACACACCAGCGGGTGCCTGCACGTGACCACTTCTTCTCGTGTCGCCACACCATGTCGCAGAAAGGTGGATCGTATCTGTAAGTGGAATTGCGGCTCATCCCAGCTCTGCCCAGCAAGGTTTCCTGAACAACCCGTCGCGTCGCCCGCAGCAGCCGCAGCCTTCGTGGCTCGTGCGCTGGTGGCGTGAGGAGATCACGAACCCCGCCAAGTTCTGGAGCAACGTTGCGGTCGGCTGGAGCGTCGCCTTCTTTGGCCTGGGTGTGCTCTTTATGCGCAAGGCTGGCTGGATGTTGGCCCCCGTGTTCTAAACATTGCTATGATTCTTCTGGCTCGGTGGATTGCAATGCTCGGCGGACCATCTCTTGGACCATGGCCGGATCAGAGTATTCGGAGCTGCGTACACGCAGCGTATAGGCAGCGTCTTCGACCTTTCGTAACGATGTAAGCGAAACCTGCTGTTTTTTCCGGATCTCGTTTTGAAAAGGCGCGAGCGGTTCGAGCGCTGGTGTGAGTCAGTGGCTCGTACCGTCGTAGATGGCCCGTTGCATCCCCACGACACGTTCGAGAATGGCAGGTGCATCCGGGCTACCGACCGAGTTGATGGCAAACCGCATTAGCTCACCGGTGAGGTCTGAGAGACCCAACAGATACCGTTCGGGTGTAATGTAGAGCAGCTGGTCGCGTCAGGGCGGGGAAACACGTACCAATGGGTGGGCGTCGCTGCGCAGAGGCGCCTGAATAGCGTCCAGCGGCATCAGGGCATCGTGCTGGAGGAAATACAGAAATATAGCGGCCTCGATCTGGGTGAGCAGGCGCGCACGCACCATCTCCTCGAGGGACGCGCCGATGAACCGCTCGAACCGGAGCATGGTGGGGCTTGGTTTGCGCGTGTCGCTGTGTAGTTGCTCCGCTTCGGCGCAGGTGCGCAGGATTGTATATACTTCTTGTAACTTCGTATGTGCGTCGTCAAACAACTTCGCATTCTTGGTATCGCGTGCCGCGGCAGGCCATCCGGCCGCGACAGAGAAGCGGTGCAGGTGAAAAATGAGTTTTTTCGAGAGCAACGTGACGTCGCGTGATGTCTTGATCAGGCGCTCGCGTTTGTCGTTCTGGGTGAGTGTGCGGCACGCACAAATGCATCGATTTCGTCGCGGTACGCGCCAAACACCTCGGTGAGCGTTGGCTGCATGACGACCATCGGACGTGCACCCATCGGGCGCCCGATCGCAAAAATTTGTCGCCTCGCCACGATGCCGGCGCCCAAGTCGACTGGTGCGCATAAGACGTTTGATTTGGAAGAGGAGGAGTTTGGTGAGGATGCCGGCCCGCTCGAGCCTACCAACTCGGACGAGGAGGTAGACGCCACGCCCTCTGCGTCCGCTGCAAATGAGGACGAGCCCGAGTCCGATTCGGGGTCCGAGGTGGAAGAAATCACGACGCAGTCGGCACGGAAAGCGGCGCGCGCGAGCGCCTCGGCGGAGCAGAAGCGCAGAGAGCGGTACGTGGCATGAGCTCATTCAGTGAACATGAGGCGCGGCGTGAAAAGCAACAACGGCGCGCAAAACCCGCCCAGGCGTCGCGCCGTGCTCGGCGCGCGCAGGCGGACGCAAAGGCGGACGAGGACGAAGAGGACGAAGAGGACGCGGCAGCGTCCGCATCAT